GGCGGAGAGTAGACGGTCTTTTGTGGCTGTTTGAACACATTCGACCACATGAGCGTTTACACTATGAAAGCAATCCGGTTTAATGTGTTTTCGACTACCTCAGGAAGTGGTCAAAAGTGGACAAGCTCAAAACATTTTAGACCCTGTTTACACCTGCATTTACCGTCGTCCACTTGTGATCCGAAGACAAAAGTGAAGGGAAACACATTAAGTGATAAATTGTGTGCTGTAATTGTCCAATCAATGTTTTCCACCACATAAATATGCAAATAAAAACATAAACCCAAACTACCCAAATTACTAACCCCGTGTGAAGTATGAACAGTGTCGAACTTGTAACAACATAACCCAGTTTAAAACAACCCCAGGTTAATCATTGACATTGTAAAAAAAAAAAAAAAAAAGCCCATATTTTGTAATATCTTAGCAACTACTGTAACTGAGATTAAATTATGAAATTTTACTTCCAATTTTACCATATTTCATACTTAGGCTTTTTACCTTCAGCTGATAGTCCCTGTATGTTCACACCTTTGGCTGCTAGGAAGCTCAGACAGGCATCAATGTTCTCAATCTAAAGAGAGACAGAGAGAGAAATGAATAGAGAATATTTTGATAAGCACTGTAACGATCATTTCAAAAGATAATGAAAAAACCCCCACACATACAAACACAGGCCGGTTAAGTTCAAAACAGATGCTGTGTCGTTGCACATCTTCACATCTGCTCTGTCTGAATACGTGACTGGACGTTCACTCGCTCTAGGAGGTGTAGTGTTATCAGAGAGCATAGATTGGCTGCTCAGTCAAAGCAGTATGCAAAGCCTTTGCTCCCAATCGTTGAGGGCATCACATGTGCCCTGTTGCTAGGAGACGCCGTCGAGGCCACGACGCTGGCCCAGCCGTATCCTAGTGTCACTCAATTGGCTGAGAGGACAGTGATGTAATAGGCTATACTTAAAGGTCATGTGGTGTCACACTAGGAATATGTTAATGATATTTACCATACTCTAGGGTCAAGGTTATTCATAATTGGTAATCGCAATTTAAGTTAAGTAATCAGATTACTTTTTCAAGTACTCAATAACGAATATCGATTATCTGAATAACGAATCAGTTGAATTAATGATTCCTACTGGCGGTTTAATTTCATAATTTTAAAGTACCATTACATTTTTTCCCCAACATTTCTTATTTGTATATATTCAAAAATGTATTAAAGTCCCCTGTAGTGAAAATCAAAGTGTGATCATCAACGAGTGGATCTCTGAGCTGGTGTGAGTGAGTGGAGGCGGGAATAATTTGCATATTCATAGAACCGCGTATACTAAATGAGGCAAGGGTGTAGAGTTACATTCAAGCTATTATGGCATAAATAAATGTTTTTAAGGGGAAAAAAATGCGTAAATATGTCATTTTGGTGATCAAAGATGAGTTTTGAGGGATACAATTATTGACTACAGGGGGGCTTTAAAATTTGTAAACATTATTTATTGCAGTTGTAATTTTACAGTGTCAATTATTTAATTTGATTGGTAACAGCCCTATAGTGTCTTATCATAATTGAATTTATTGATCAAATGTAAGAATTTGACATGATGCATACATTTTTAAGGCCTTTATAAAGGTAAACAACACCCTGGGGGTAAATATCAAAAATATGCAGATTTAAGTATGTAAAATCTGTAAAAGCAATATTTTTGAGGCCACCACATAATTTAGAGCATCACTTTGATTTAATGCCAATGTTCTGTATTAAAGAACTGGTCATCTGCCATGGGTTAGTCAGCACACGCGTCAGTTATGTTGTCAGCTACAGCAACACATTTCAGCCTCGCTGACTATATCCCAGTTGCTGGCAGCCAACAGTTGCTGGCCTGAAGGGTCAAGGGAGATCTAGAAACGTGAGTAAAGAATCTGCTCTAGATTCCACCGAACCTTTGAAGGAACCACATTCCAGACGTCCAGGACTAAAAATAACGTTTCTAAATAAAAATACCGCAGAGAGAGGAAATGGAATTTCTATATTTTCTTTCTCTCTGTGAATTGAATTACAAAAGCATACTATTCTATCAAGTCAATATGAATGCATTAAAAAAACGGGGTGTGGGGCAATTTAGCTCTAACATAACAACATTGTCTTCTGTGATTGTTGGTCTGCAGGTCATGCATGACAGCAAACGCCACTCTGAATGACACTCTCATAATAGCTGCATTAAGAACTCACTGGGTCAATAGAAATCAGAACCTACTGGAATAAAAGCAAACAACTGATCATAGAGCATGAAAAGCACTTAACCGAAGACAAACACACGCTAGTATTTATAAGCCACAGAAATGTACTAGTGAAAAGCATTAGTGGTCAACCAGTATTGTTTGTTCAAAGATAGATGTCGATATCTAGTCTGGCTGAAAAAAATATATCTAGTTTTATACTAAAAAAATGTATTACATTATTAAAATACAATAACATTAAAAATCCCATTTCATTTAAATATAATTACCTTAAAGTAATACAATTTTAAGACTGCAATTATAGACACAAATTTGCAATGAATGAAATCAGCACTTCGTTTTACAAAATATTTTCACAAAAAATGCGGGGGGGGGGGGGGAATATTACTCAAGTTGTTTGTTTAATTATGCACTAATAATGATGCTCCTGTCCTAATGCGTAATGTATGGGAGAATCGACTTCCACGGTGGTTTCTATAATGTGGATGTTAGAATGTTACTTACCGAATCTTACAATACTCTAATAAGCAAAAATATTCATAGTGTGATTTTGAGAAATGACAAAAGGAAGTCAAACCTCTGTAAAAATAGCCAAGCATCGATGCTGATAATCTCAAAATGGTCAAATATCATTCAATACATTTCATTCTATCAAGAAAACAGTAATACTGATAAAAATGCACTTTTGTTAAAGCTTTTTCCAAATACATTTATGGCCTGAAATACTCCATCAAAATGTTTAACAGGTCAAAGATCTTAAAAGTATGTTAAAAAAACTTTCTTTCCATAATACTGAAACTATTAAAACACAAAGAAGCTTTGTACTTAGAAAAAAAAAATCTATTTGTTTTCCATGTACAGACTATACGCAGCTTACATGTCTATATAACAATATAAAAGCATTTTGAATTCTATCTTACTCCATGTTTCGTAAATATCCTATGTCAATAATCAATCCAGGAAGTCCTTAAAGCAATACGACGCCGTACCTGAAGAAAGAGTGTTTTATTTGCTGCTCAGCTCGCTGCATGTTACCTGTGAGAGACTGTAGGAGTGTATCCTCAGCGGCTCTATAGTGTCTAACACAACAGGGCAGAGACGGCCTGCTAAACAAACACCTTCACACACACACACACACACACACACACAGAGAGAGAGAGAACTAGTGTCTGTCTCAAACACATAAACATGCTTAAACGCACACATGTGAACATATACCGGATACATTCCTTCTATATGAGACTCCCTCCACACAAACTCTCTCTCTTATTATATGTCTCCATCTCTCCCTCTGGTTGTTTTTTCCCCCTCTCTGTCATTATATTTTTCATCACCACTGGTTTTCTAATAAACTCCTCCATGTGTGTAAGTGTGTTTATGTGTAAGTGAGTTAGAGTTGAGAAGAGAGAGAGAATGTGTGTATTTAAAGGTGATGACTGACAGGGGAACTGGTCATGTGATGTTCTTTGTATAATGGCAGTAAATACTGTATAAATAATAAACTTGTGCATTAATTTATCTGATGCCATCAATATTACGGACACTAATCTTTAAAGCTGTCATATCATGCTTTTTAATGTGTAAATTATATTAAAATCATTATGTTTGATAAACTTTAGCCTCTCAGATCAAATGTCGGGAATGTTTTAGAATAAACTCCTCATTCCTCCTAATTACTTCACATTATATGAGTTGTTGGTGTGTAAATGTGGTGGTCATGCGCTCAAATGTGCCTGTCTAATGTCAAAAAGATGTGCTATGCATTTTTCAGTTCTGAAAGTTAGTTTATGTCTCATACAATGAACTATTTTATTGCGAAACATCAAAGAAAAAAATTCAAACACATCATTTAGAGTCATATGACCAAGAAACACACGAGTTGTATGCACTGAAAAAAAAAGAGGAAATTTGTAGTAAAAAACATAATAATATCATTAAAAAGCTGAAGCCTTTTTTTTTAAATCTCAAAATAGGGAATCAGGTCAAAGCAACTGATGGAGGAGGTACTGTAACATTTGACTGTTTTATGATATGACCAGACCCTGTATAGTAAAGTATAACAAAGCAACATTAAAATGTGTCCTGTGCAAAAAAAAACTTGTGTAAAATAATGTTAAAATAATTTAAATGTTTTATTTATTCCTGTGAGCAGCCATTACTCCAGTTTTCAATGTTGCCAGTGAATTTAATGCATTTTTGCTAAATAATAATATTAAGTTCTAAAAAAATAAATAAAAAAAATAATAATAATTATAATTATATGTATATATTAGGGCTGTCAAACGATTAATCACGATTAATCGCATCCAAAACAAACGTTTGTGTTTACATAATATGTGTGTGTACTGTGTATAATTATTTTGTATATAAATGCACAGTGCACACATGTTTAAGAAAAATATGTTATTTATATATAAAATGTTTATATTTATATAAAATATACATTATATATAGGCTACATTCAGTTTATATACAGTATATACATGCAAATATTTCTTAAATACACATGCATGTGTGGGTATTTATGTATTAAAAATAATTATACACAGTACACACACATATATTATGTAAACACAAACTTTTATTTTGGATGCGATTAATCGCGATTATTCGTTTGACAGCCCTATATATTTATATATTTTTTATTTTTTTAAGTAGTTCAAACTCACAATTACCCAACACAAACGATGAATTTTGTCCGACTTTTATCACTTATGAAAAGAGAAAGAACAAAGAAGAGGAAAACACAAGCAGTGATGGACGCCTCCTCAAAAGAATGGCCTGAGTTTTGATTCCTTCCACATCCTGAGCACAGATCCCACACTAACAACCTCCCGTGATGACTGACAGACAACCAAATTGGATTAGCGTGCCAATCATTCCCCTTATAATTCATTCATTCCCCTTAACTAACAAAACAAAAGACAAGAGTGTTCAGAAAAGTGGTCATGCTATATAGACCTATTGTATATTCAACGCTCTCCTCTCCCATCGTCTTCTGTCCTTAAAAAAAGTCATTTCTCCCACTTCAAAGTGCTATGCTCTGCTTTGCTAACATCCACCACACATGTGACCAGAGAATGACTCAGCTGAAGCAACCATCTTTGTGTCAATATGATCCAGCAGTAAAGTTACAGCACTGAGATTTCCTGTGTGTTTTAGCAGTCCTGTGTCAACAGCCCTGGACATAAAACACAGCGTATCTTGCGAGCAGCTTGCTTTGCTTTGTCTGTTTTAAAGGGGAGGAGGAGATGGTCTAAAAGGGATCAGACGGAACAAACAGGTGTAAAAACAATCCCAAAGGTGAACGAGAGAATCTGATGCCATAGCCCAGACTGATAAAATAGCTATCGAATGAACACCAAATATCCAGGGGTAACAGATATACCTGTATTGTTTAAATAGAAACTAACACTCCACGTTTATTTAGAAAAGGTTTTAAGCATTTGAGTGCTTTACATAGCTCAAAAACTGCTCACATAAATGGTAGTTTGTAAATACAATGAACGAATGGCTATTTCTCACACGTTTGTTTCACTACATTATTAATGACATTGTATAGACTTCCATTGTTTTTATATCTGGTAAATGATATTTTTTATTACCTAACCCCACCCATCAAAATATGTTTTGGCTGATTTATACGCCAAGGTCCAGTCAAATGTCCTCACTAGTAAGTTGGTTGTCATATTTCACTATACAAGTGAGGCCATGCTAAAAGCCAAACCTATACACACACACACACACACACACACACACACACAGACACACACAAACAAACACACACACAGTTTGAACTTAGAACCATTGTGAATTACTTAATGCAATATCAATTGCAGCAAAAAATAAATAAATAAAAACTTTGGGGTAACAAAGATTTTTCTTCTTCTTTTTTTTATAATACTTTTATTCAGCGATGCATTAAACTGATGAAAAAGTCAGAGTAAAGATCTTTACAACAGATATTCAAAAGGATAGCAATTTCAAATGGATGCTGTTATTTTGGACTTTCTCTTCATCAAAAATTCTTGAAAAACAAGTATCACTTTCCACATAAATAGCAGCACAACTGTTTTTAACATTGATAATAAATAGGATATTTTTGAGCACCAAATCATCATATTAGAATGATTTCTGAATGATCATGTGACACTGAAGACTAAATATCCAGCTTTGCATCACAGGAATAAATAGCATTTTAAGATGTATTAATAAAGGAAACAGTTATTTCAAATTGTAATCATATTTCAGAATATTCTAGATTTACTATATATTGGATCAAATAAATCCAGCCTTGATGAGAATTCTTTCACAAACAAAATCATTACCATTCAAAAGTTTGTTTTGTTTGTTTTATTTGCCTGGTCTTATTGTGCATGACTCACCAGTGAATGTTTAAAAAAAAAAAAAGGATCTTATCTTATTGTCTCATCTTTCATCAAACTGTAATGAATTGCTCGACCTTAGAAAAAACTTTCTTAAACCAAGCCCTCTTAAGACCCCACTATAACACCCATTCCTGATGCATTATGGAAGTAAAATGGCTTGCGTAGCACAATTCATGATAAGCACTCAAAACTGCTCCATAAAAGTTAACATATGCTTAGCTACATCAAATATTATGGTCCTCCAAAGCAAGTGAGAAATATGCATTCAAATTCCCTAGTTTACAATATGAGCCCAAATACCTCCATTGATTAGTTTAATGTGTTTACATATTTACCCATCTGAATGCTGAGGTTAAGTATCATGTCAGCAATTAGCGTTTGCAGAGATATTACTCAAGCGAATGGATCTGTATGCTAATGACATGAGTGCTTGTATGTCCAGTGTAAGCTGTTGCTGGAGGCCCATTCACTGAGCGATTGTGCAATTCCCGCTCTTGATAAAAACACACAATGCTGATATTTACATAATGGCTTTGCTTGCACCTGCTTCCAGCAGTGTTGTGCTTCCTAGCTAAAGACGCACACGCACATAAACAAATACACACGCTGGAATTTAAACAGCTTCAGATTGACTCGCATACAGGAAAACTGCATTGAGACGCAGAATGCCTGCTGAGACATACACAAAAAAAGTGCATATGCGCACATGCTGATACAGTTACCACCGGCTGAGATATAGAAGACGACCGAATTCGAAAGACCAGAGTATTCACGCAGCTACAGAACGAGAGAAAACTGTGAGCAGAGAAAAGGAAAGGAGAAAGAAAATGGGAACACAAAGGCTGTGTGTGTGTAAAAGTAGTAAATGATGGTGGGATTTGCTGCTAAGGGGACGGAGCTAATTGATGGAGCCAGAGAAAGGGGAAGTCAGTGAGAGAGACGGGGGAAAGAGATCCGACCCCAGCCATTCAAAACTCCTAATCTACTTCTCACATCTGTTTACCAGCAAACTGTCTTTGTAAAGCTGGTCAAGCATTAGGGCTGGGAGACGAGTACTAACAGTTTTATTTTATAAAAAAATATCTTGATTTTCAGAATATTCGGTTAATTTTTTTTTTACTAGTTTACTGACTATTCAGTCGCATTTACAATAGCTAAGCTATGTTTCCATCCAAAGCTGTGCATTTAACATATGCGCAAAATTGGAATATCGCATAAATCATAATAAATCATAATGATAAATGGAGCGTCCGTTTCCAATCCAACGTGTTCTAGAAAACAAAATCGTCACTTCCTGGGAAATTGGCGCAAAATTGGATCTGTAATAAAAATGGAAGTTGCTGCAATCGGGGAAGAAACTGACTCTTTCTTCATGCCTGGTGTTTGTGAACGCAGTCATGTGAGACGCTTCTGGGAGGGAATTAAACCAAATCATTCTGATGACAAACTGATCCGCTTGTTATAGTCCGGGTCCCCAATCAATCACATCCTCAGTTTTTTGGTGCTCATCGAGGGATTTATTCGGTAAATGTGTTTCCTGAGTAATTTATGTGCATGTGTTCTTATCGGATAAAATAATTCTCAGATTCAACTGATTTTCAATGCACATTTTTTTTAGAATATATGCGCATATTGGCATTTCCATCCAGCGTTTTTAGGGGATATCCCAAAATTTGCATAAAAAAGGTGGATGGAAACATAGCTATGTGAAACATACAGCGACCAGTGTGGACTGACTGCTAAAAGACTGACTCTTAGGAGTCCATTCATTTTAGTGAATCAAAAACATATAGTGCAACCAGTGATGCCCAAAATCTTTTTTAGCCATTGACTTCTATTGAATTGTCTTTCCTCCTGGAAGTCAATGGCAACCGTCAACTGTTTTTCTGCCAACATTCTTTAAAATATCTTCTTTTTGTGTTCAACAGAAGAAAAAAATTCATCCAGGTAAATGATGACCCAATGTTCATTCATGGGTGAACTACAGAATCCTTAAACTCTTGGCGATTCCCATCCTTATCAACTAAAGGAGCATTGTCTTTCTAGTGAAGCTAGTTGGCCAAAGAGCGCAGCACACCAGCCCTCCAAACCCAACATCCGCTGGTTTCAGCTGGGTTTCATCACTGTCAAAACAAGAGCAATGCCTCAACGGAGGCATTACTATCCAAACCCTCTAGAAATAACAAAACGCACGTATGGATCAATCTACCATAAAAAAAGCCCTTTGAAAATGATTCCTTTGTTGCGTCCAATCAGGCTTGACAGCTGCCTTTGTAATGGAGACATGTCAAAAGCAACCGCTGCTTCTCTGCTCGTGTGTGATACCAGTGATACTCAGACTTCTACAGTTTGTTTTGCTTAGCTACAGCTTGGCTAAAATAGCTCTTTATGTCTATAATCTGGCTTGTGCTTCCTCCAAACCTATACATTTACTGATGGTTTCGGGAGTTTTTTAAGTTTCTGCCAAACTACCCCCAGATGTTTATAAAGAAAGACCGCGAGAGAAGCAAAAATAACAGTAATAAAGTGCAAGTCCATACTGTACGCCAAGCATGCTGTGAGAAAGCGATTCTGAACGTCCGATATATTAGTGTTTCCCTGGACAGATATAGCATTGCCTTTTAAAGCACATATACTCCAATTATCAAAAATTACACCGTCACAAAAAAAAAAAAAAAAAACACAACCAGAAGACAATAAAACAAGTCCTTACCATCTGAGAACGACTCTTAGGGCATCCATTAATGTCCTCAATCTTCTCGTTTGCTGCGGTATCCGAAAAAGAGAGAAATAGGGACAAATTAATTTACAAAAGAACACAAGTTGGCAGGTCTCCTTAATTGTAAGCCTGAAGTGCAGTATGTCCTTTCTGAGTTTTGACCCCTAATGTGGAAACTAGATCCAGCTTGAGCAACTGTGTGGCAGGGCCTGCTGGGATGCCACTGCTTTGGGGTTTTCCTGAGGGTGACTGACTGCATCCCGACGGGCCCAGCCCAAACCCCCCCTCACCCCACGGCAGCTGAAACTGGGCCGTTCGCTCACAGATGACAACTGCACACACGCCTACAATGACAGCTACATGCCTGCAGGAATCCCTTTACCTCCTGCGCTGTGGGAAAAATGTGTTGGGAATGTGTAAGATGTCAGGTGAGAAAGCATGGAAGACAGAGACATCTGAGACGGCCTGTCTCGTGGAGGGACTCTGTGAATACAGGAGAAACATTTGGGTGGCCATCTTTGAAAATATTTGTTATTTAATCATTATTTCATAATGTTGTTGAATTAGTATTTTATATACAATACTTCAACCACATTTAAGAATGCATTGATTTCGCATATAGATATCAAAAATAGATAAAAGGTCTAAAACAGATTAATTTGGTTAATTAATTTATCATTCTTTAAAAAAATTGTTTTATATTTTATATATATATATATTTTTTTTTTTTACATATACCATGATATTTTTCACCAACATGTACATGCAATGGTATTTTCCAATTTCACTTTAATATCACAATTTAAACTAAAAATAACAATATATAACATCACAATTGATCACTTGGGTTGCCATTACTTCTAAACAATTTGTCATTTAATCGTTATTTTATAATGTTATTTGATTATTGTTTTATATAAAACACTTAAGCCACAAATACGAATTAATTAATTTCATTGCCTGAGATATCAAAATTAGATATAAAAAAATATTAATATGGCATCTGCAAACATTCTAGACCTCAGAATTAATTTCAATCATTCTTTAAATATATATATATATATATATATATATATATATATATATATATATATATTTTTTTTTTTTTTAAATGTTTTTACATATACCATGATATTTTTTTTGGCGAACACTCAAATACCATGCTATTTTCTAATTTCACTTTAATATCACAATTTGAAATAAAAATAATATATAACATCACATGAACATCAAAATGTATGTCTTCTAAACAATTTGTTATATAATCATTATTTGATATGAAACACTTAAGCTACAATTAAGAATGTATTGAATAATTTAAATGCGTTAGATATCAAATTAGAAATATAAAAAATAATATCAAGGTGGCATCTACAAACATATTTTAAACCTCAGATTTAGTTTCTATCATTCATTAAAAAAAAAATTTTTTTTTACATATACCAATATCACAATTTGAAATAATAATAATATATAACATCAAATAAACATCCAATTTTCCCCATTTGGATGGCCATGTTTTCTAAATAATTTATAATTTAATCACTATTTTAAACTATACGTCTAAACTATACATTGGTCCTCAAAATACTTCAAGAGTGCATAGATTCATTTCATTGCATTAGATCTAAAAACATATCAAAGTGGCATCTGCAAATAAACTCTAGACCTCAGAATTCATATCATTCTTTAAAACAAATCCCATTTGATGAATCTATAATGTCCAAATACTTGTTGGGGCCCCTGTAAACTGGCGTGAGCTCTAAATATCTTTATTGTCACCATTCCAAACATTTTCTTATTTAAAAATTTCCCTTTGAAACTTTTTTGGTCTAAAGCCATCAGCTCCCTTTAATATAAAAGAAGTAAATATGTGAAGCATCATGTCATTGGTTGCCTGCAGCATTTGTGTGTCAGACGGGACAGGTCGGGTTTCAGCTTCAACTGGCCAGTGTGTCATTCCCATGAGATGTAGGAAAGACAAGAGAACAAAGTGGGATGACCACAATGATGAGTCATATAACACCACTTTACCCCACAACACTGTACTTTCTGCTGTTAAGTAACCAAATGCTTTCCGGCTCTTACAACATATTTTTAGAGGACAGAGGTAAAGAAAAACTCTATTTTTGTATGTCCAAGGCAAGAATCGCAAGGATCAATTTTCTTACTGAGCACTCAGAAGTATGTAAATAGTATTAAAGCATTAAAAACTCCTATTACAACTGGGTGGATCTACTGCTGTAATTAATAGCGTGCCATGACAGTTTGATCAAACTTAAAATATTAGTGACTGAAAGGTGAAAGCATTGCTGATAATACAAATAAATGAAAACAAATGTATTCTTAAGGATAAACCCCTTGAGATGAATCATCTCGTTTTCAAGGGGGTTCAAACTAACAAACAAACAAATAGTTTGAAATGCATTTCAAATATAATTTAATAAAAAATGTAATGTGAGTGAAAAATGCATGTTTTGAATTTAAAAGCACTGCTTAAATATAAATGCATAAATATATAATATGTCATAAATTATGTATTTATATTTTATATTACTCTGTATTTTTTATTTGAAATAGTTTATGTAATATTATTCCAATATCATTTAATTTTAGTCTAATAAATCGATACACTGAACACAGTAAAATCCAAAGAAATATATATATATATATATATATATATATATATATATCCTTTATAATTATAATAATAACAAATACATGCTTTAAACTCGAGAGTACTGATCAAATATACATGCATAAATATAGTCACATGTCACCGTTTATTTATTTATAAAGCTCTGTGATGTATTTTTTTTAAATAATTTGTCTATGTAACATTAATGCATTAAGCTTACAAAAATAATAAATAAATATATACATATAATTAAATAAAAAGTAATTATTAGCGCACAAATTATACTAATTATAGCATTTTGTGTTCTTAAACAAAAAACCTTAAATACATTTTAGGCTACATCTTTCACAGAAATTCTTTGCTCAATTATTTTTGCCTGTTTTAGAGAAAGTGAATCGCTCACCGATAACCTGGATGATCTCCGCCAGCAGCACGCCATCGCTCACATCCTGCTGCAGGTCTTTAATCAGACGCTTGTGTCCAGATCTGGCCAAGTAGTGATTCGCCCAGTCCGTGTAGATCTGTCAACACGAGAAGAGAAACCTCGCTTATAAATCTATCCATCAAAAAAGTTTCAAACAACTTGGATTGACGACGTACGTAACCGCCGCTTGGTGAAGACTGAGCGCCTCGCCGCGTCACTCCGCTCTATTCAAACCAACTCCATTGTGTCTTATTCAAGTTATTCAGCGCTAATAATGCTCGAATTCTCTCGTCTGACATCACAGAAAAGCCCCTTCACTGGGACAGGAGGAGGGAGACCCCGAGGGAGCTTAAATTAAACCTCTGAATGGGCTTGAAAGGAGTCATGTGTTGTTTGCTGTCCAAAAACGTTCCCGCGTCCCGTTACAAGATAGAGAAAGCGGAAAACACGTAGTGCAACAACGTGCATTAAAACTCACGGAGATGCTCAAATAATGGAAAATGAAGGAAAAGCTTACATGAAACACGTCTAGTTTATTTTTTAACATGTTCTTTTAGTTCACTTCAACATCACAATTCACTTCAACATCACAATTTCAATGACCTAATCATAATAATATAGGCTATATACCCACATAAACAACACAATTGACAGTACTTAAATAATTCAAAGAGTTGTTTTATTGTTGTAGTGCAGGCTTTCCACACACAATCAAAGGCCTGGCAGTATTCAAACACATTCCCACATGGGGGTTGTAAAGCATGTGTGGTGTGTTTCATGAGTAAATAAAGACTGCTGGTATTATTGCAGTGTTACTCATGTGAGGAATCAGTTTCCTAGATGGGAAATAACAGGTGCACCCTTAGTCCCTGTACCATCAAAATAAACACGCTCTCGCTGGAGTCATTTATACTCAAACAGCCCGCAAAGCCCATATAATTACAGAGCGCAATGACCAATGCAATGGAGAAATGTCCATATCTATCTGGTGCTTTGAAGTTTTGTGGGCTAAGTGAGTCAGATGTGATTAAAGCTAAGGTGAAGACAGTGAAGTGAAGGTAAGGGTAAACATGCCTCCAAGCAACAAAAGAGAAGTAATGCAGAGGAAATTACAGATGACACTAGTCTGTCAGACTGAACCAGGTCACCACCATGTAAACACTACAGTACCTTTTCATGTCAAAAGAAATTGGTACCAGTATTGAATCTAGTTTATCTGTTATTTATTCCTTTACAGCATTTAGACCATGGTAACATTTGTATCCATGTCTTAAAGTTGCAGTATCATTTTTAATGTGTTTCACTGGCTGAAAGGTCAGTGATCTTGGATCTTGCCATCTAATGCATAATCACATTAAATCAGAAGTATTCGGATCCCGATTTCTATTGTATTCCCAGGCATATTCTTACAGTATAATTTTTTTCCATAACAGAAAGCATCTAATTATTAAACGCCTTTTCTTGGCCACTGCAACAAATGTTTTTTGAGCAGCAAATTAGCATATTAGAATTATTTCTGAATGCACATTTATTTATTTACTTAAATTACATTTGAAACGATAGAGAACATACATTAAATGTATTATTATTATTTCACAATATTAGTTTTTTCAAGCAGCCTTGGTGACCAGAATAGACTTACTTTATGTGTAAAATGAAAAACTTTTGAAGTTAACGTATCTGTATGAAATTTATGAAGATATTTTCCTCCATACTGAAAGCCATTACTAACAACAAACATCCATATACTGTATGCCATCTGAATCAGCACTTATGATGACATTTATGTGAAATAGACACACACACACACACACACACACACACACACTGCTTTGTTGTGTGGACATCAAACTAGCATCTATTATTTCTGCACACGTTTGAGGCTGTTGCTCTGCCCGGTCCACTCTTGACCCGAGTATGAGCCGTTCTCTGAGTTCACAGACGTTCCTGAGGGGTGATTTGTTGACAAACGAACAGGTGGCTCTTGCACGCATTTGCTGATGAGTGTGTTAAACTACCTGTGTGAGTAAGACAGGGAATATCAAACAGGGGGCTTCCTCAGTGTGGTAAGTTTTCAACGATTTACCAACAGCTGTCAATTGGACTCATGTTTAAACTCAAAGCGGGGAGGTAGAACACTGTTCAACTACAAAGGCTCTCGTGTCAAACACTAATAACAGGGCGGCCCGTGTTAGTCACAGACACAGAATTGTTCCCACAGGCACGACATGCTGAAGCTACAAAGCTTACATTCAGGTGCACAAGAGAGAGGCCTTTAAATAATATAGTACTTTAAAGTAATTACAATAGATCATTTACTGAGGTGAACGTTAGGTCAGATAACCTCCCTGCTAACAGCTTAGACCAGCATGCATTTCAATGCGGATTCTGGCTGGTTTGCTACTAGTTTATCTTGTGGACTAACACTACAATTCAAAGGTTTGTGGTTAATAATATTTTATTGTATTTTTTTTTTTTTTTAAGTATACCGCAAGGACGAATTACATTAATCAAAAATGACATTTAAGATTTCTATTTCAAATACTAAATGCTGTTCTTGTGAACGTTCTATTCATCAACTAGACAGCACAACTGTTTTCAACACTGACATTAATAATAAATGTTTCATGAGCATCAAATCATCACATTAGAATGATTTCTGAAGGATCATGTGACACCGAAGACTGGAGTAATGATGCGGAAAATGATGCTGGAAAGTAAATATTAAAATAGTCAAGTTATTTTAAACTGTAATAATGTCTGACAATACTTAGATTAAATAAATGCAGCCTTATATGAAACTTTCAAAAACATTAAATCTTACTGACCCTCAACTTTTGAACAGTAGTGTAACTATGCTGTTCAGCAAAATCTTTAACACCAGCATTCATATTTGAAAACATTTTAGGAACAGCATTTGCAAAATAAATAAAGAAGCTGAATTATGAATAATACCTTCTGATCTGACCCCTGATCATTTGTTTTTCTTTTGAATAACATTCACCAATGAGACTAGAAAGATTTGTATAATATGTAAGTAAATATTATGCCAATGTAATGATACAGAACATACAGAACTTGACCAGTCATATACTTTTGCCACTTGTTGCTTTTTATATTTCACTGACCTGGCTAACTTTAGGTGCAACCTCCAGTCCAAAGACTTCAAGCTAATCTTAACCCACAAACATCTTAAAAGTCCTTCAGCTCAGCTTGCAGTAACTTGCGCAGTAAGTCTGGACTGTATCTACAGTAAATATATCCCCCGCTGACTGCCTACACATATCTCCACGGCAGAGAGGTCTTACCGTTCTGTAGTGATGGCAGGACGACCTGCTGTGGCGTCTCTCTGGGACGTACATCCTCACGTTCAGAGCCATAATGCTTTCACAGGTGAAGCGCGCTCATATTTACTGAAGCCCAGAGGACGTCCTGCGACACTCACGCCTGTAATCAAGTCAGCGATGTGTGTGTGTGTGTGGGGGGGGATAATTTTAGCTGTGAGATGCATTCTGGAGCATCGTTTGCTTAAGATATACCTTACTCTACGTGTCTACATGTCACACTTAGTGTCAAATGCTGAGACATCTCAGATTATTACTGTTTCACCTAGTCCAAATAAAAAACTAATTTAATATAATTTAAGTAATAGTTAGCAAATAATCCAAAAAGGATCCCGAATAAACAGAGAATACTATAAGAATTAAATACCCTATGTTTCAATTGAATAAACTTAATAAAATACCATAATAATCCTAAATAAATAATACAGTAGGAGTCCCGTATCTGTTTTACTCGGTTGCAAATGACTTTCATTTCCTAATTGTTTTCCTCTTAGTGTGTCAAAAATGTCAAATCGTGATCTTATAACTGAACCAAATATCAAGAAATGCAAAGCTTTATGTAACAAAAACAGAGATGACATGTTTCCATCTATTTTTTTTTTTGGCGCATTTTGGCATATCGGAAATGCCATGATGTGCATCAATGCTAAAAAATATGCATAAAAACATATTCCACTCAACTGAGGCGGATACATTATTTAGAGATGCGGAAGGAAACATTCCTAGATGCACAATAAAAAACTCACGTGACTTGTCCTCAAAAGAGGATGTGATTGGATAACTGGACTAACCAGTGGACCAATCGCATCGCACAGCATCTCAAATGTTGCTTTGATAATTTTGAAGTCTGTCATCAGAATGATTTAGTTTAATTCTCTCTCAGAAGTGTCAAATTAGCACATAAGTTAAATTCACAACTTTGGATGAAAACCTAGCTGTGGTAGCCAAGACTAATGCTTCTTTTCCTGCTTCAGTCACTAAAAACACATCTAGCTGATATTGGTCTCTCAAGGTTTACTGTTGTCAGTAGAGCTTTAAAACTGTCTTTTCACACACACATAAAGAATGTATATGTACACAAACATATGCAAACACACATGCACATCAGCTCTACATGTACAGAGAGAAACAGAGTATGTGGGAGGTCTGACGGCTATACTCGAGAGGTGCTGACAACAACCAGGAATGTGTGTTGGGGTGGTGAGAAGGGTGACGGATGGTCCAAACCATCACATCCCCCCCAAAACCAAACATAACACTCGGCAAGTTTCAAATGCAAAGATCAAGGCTAGTGCTAAATCATTCAAGACCATCGAATACAAGACCTGCAACTCACTCACAAAACATAACTAGGTTGAACAGAAGCACATACTCACATTCACAAATGGAGGTCCCTTTCAGTTTCCTCCTATTAAAATATGAGGTTAAGCCACTCTTTTCTCTCCTGCCATCTGCGTTGTGTCACAGAGTGGTGTAAAGTGTGTTATTCTCCTCTGGAGTGTCTTGATTAGAGCTCTAATCTAATAATGCACACGGCCAGACACACAGATCACAGATGCCTCATTTATTTATGCTCCTCTACTCTAAACGGCCTACAAATTCAATTTCTAAAGCAAATGTAATCTTTCCTTTGGCTGAGCTTTCCGGGTCACTCCAACTTGACCCTAATGTTCATTATCTTGCAGTCAAGAGGCTCCACTTGCTGATGTACCATAGGCCTTGAACTATCAATCTGAAATCCATCTACATGTAA